GAATATCCCTATTGATGACTTAGGGATAACCCGATTGGAAACTGGATGTTAATAAATTGATATCAATAAGAATAACCATATTGATATCTTTATAATATCCTGATTAGAACCTTATTGTATCCTATCTGCGCCATTAATCGTTATCAATCGGGATCACCTGATTTTAAAAAACAAAAAAATAGGGGACCAATCAGGTCAAATCTGGCAACCCAGATTTGACCTGATTGGTCTCCTATTTATTATCGTTCGACTAGTGTATTAAGCTTTAGCTCTTAAAAAAGAAAATGCAAAAACTCTTGGAAATGGTTCTTACTTTAGAAACTCTTAAATCCAAATATCTTACATTATATAACAGTTCATAATTATATATTAGATGTGATGCAGATAATGAAACTTTTTAATATGTTTGAGACTGTTTAGTCATTCATTATAAAATGAAGGAGTTTATCAAGAATTTTTACTTCAAATTCTACATAACAATGTTTTTATCATTGATATTTACTTAATCAATATCTGGTTTACCTCCAAATTTGCATTTTTTTCATTTTATGATCTTATCAAAGAAATTGTTTCTCTCTATTTTATCAACTTAATTTACTTATATTCCCTAAAAGACTGATATATTAGCAGCTCTATCTAACTTTATGCATTTTATTTTTGAAAAATCTCAAAAAATTTAGATTGATAGATGTGTTTTATTTAAACAATTTAAATCTTCAGTAAATATTTTTGATGCAGATAAATTCTCCCACATTTTAGCTTTTGGATACCATTTTAATTTTTCAACATCTTTATTTGATTCATTAATAATTATAGATAGGATCAATAGTAGATACTGTATAACTTAGATTGAATAATAGTTGCAGGTTATAAGTAGTTGATATTACATTATTTTCAATTATTATGATACCTATATTATAATTAGAATTTAGAAGTTTAAGTTCAATTCTTGGAGTAATTTTAACATATGGTGAGGCAACTATAGTATAAACTATCATTTTAGTTATTTTTGAATCTTTTTCAAGAGTAATGATAAAATATGAATGATGATAAATCATACATTTTATTATACAATTTAGTGATATGATAGTCTACTCAGATATTGATACCTATTTATCTAAGTTTAATGCAAATTCACACTGGATTAAAAATTATACTAAAAAATGGCTATAGTGATGAATACTTATTGTAAGCATATCATTCTATTAAAGGTATGCATTTAATATTAGCCACCAGCGTATATCTAGTAAAAGTATCAAAAAAGATTTTTTAGAAATAATATTCAAACCAAAATATTTTTTCTTGTACTTTGAATATACAGATACCAAATTGAGCTTGAATATTATATTTGTAATAATTCTAAAATTAGTTATATCATTTTTATTCAATAGATTATCTTCTTTCTATTTTGATCATTATATTTATCAATCTATAAATAAGATTGATTATATTTTACAAATTACTTGTTTGATTATTATTATCAACTAATATATACCAATGTTCCTTTATTTATTTTTTTGCAAAAGAAAATTTTCCATGATATTTAAAATTTTTTTATGATAATTTTTCAAATATAAGTATTTTCTTTTGAATTGAATTTCTCATTTTTTTCTTAAAATTTTCTTTACTACTAAAATTATTGTCAATTTTTAAACTTTAAATTTTAACAGAATGGTTTGTATAAACAAAAATAAATCTTATTCTAATTGATGTAAAGCATTACTTCATCAGAGAAAATATAATAGCAAAAACATTTTTCAAAATAAGATAGATAAAATGTTTGTTACTTCTATAAAGGATGAAATTTTTTTATTTTCTAAGCTTTAATTAGTAGACTTGGTAATAAAATAAATTAAAACTAATTCCTTTTTTTTTATTTATTATGTGGTTTGTGACTGATAAAGTTTGAACATTAGTAAATTAGATGCAGTATTTTAAATTTAACTCATGAAAATTAATAAATGAATATCAAAAATCAAGAAATTATGAAATGTAATTTGTTAAATTATTACGAAATAAAAAGTGTGATGCAAGTAAGACTCATTAAAACATGGTCTTTTATTTTCATTTGATAAACTCAAATTAAAAATAATGCTTTAAATTTGTTATACATAAGAAATCAAACACAAGGTCTGCAAAAGGAAGATAATTTCTTTCAAAATAATAGTGGAAATTTCACTTTCTTTTTAAAAGAATAAATAATATTGACTCAAGATGAAATAATTGAAATGTTTCAAATAATCATTTAAGCAAAATATACATCATTATTGAAGAATATCATATATATACTCTACCTTCAGAAAAGTATCCAGTCAGCTAAAAAAATATTTATTTATTTGGGATTTTTGATATAATATAATATTTAATATTTAGTAGGCCATCCTTGGCTCTTAATACTTCGATTCTATGTGGCATGCTTTCTATAAGGTTATTATAAGTTTCAAACAGAATTTTTCTCTATTCCTCTTGCAAAATTTCTTCAAGTTTACAAAGATTTCACTCCATAAATGTTTAATCGGGTTAAGGTCTGGAGATTGAGAAGGCCAATCGGGAAGTACCTTAACCTTTTCTTAACAATCCAATTTTTTAGAGGTTGGAATTGGCCCAAAAATCCTTAACCGGTTAATAACCGGTTAAAAATTTCTTTAACCGGTTAATTAACCGGTTAAATTTAACTCAGGCCGGCACTATAAATTTGGGCAAAACTAGCAAATTTTGTAATTTTTGTAATTGCAAAAAAATTTTAATTCTGCCCGAAAATTAAATTTCGGCCAGAGTTAACATTAGTTATTTTAACTGGTTAAAAAAAATCTTTAACCAGTTAACAAGATAAACGTCTTAACCGGTTTCAACCTCTACAATTTTTGACATCCTTTGTTGTATGAACTGGAGCATTGTCATCTTGGAATGCATATGGCTGCCTATAATGTTTGGATGAAATGAATGGCAATAAATTTTTCTCTAAAATATTGATATAATTTAACCGATTCATTTTCCCCTCAACTTTTACTAGTTGTCCCAATCCTTTTCCTGAAAAGCATTCCCATATCATGATGCCACCACTATTATGTTTGACTGTAGGAGTCAAATTTTCAATATCATATTGGGTACCATTTTCCCTCCAAACACGACCAGGTCAATCATTTTCAAAAAGAGTGAATTGTGATTCATCACTCCAAATTACTGTTTTCCATTTTTAGATTGACAAATTTCGCTGCTTCATACACCATTTTAATCGATTTTCACGTTGTATTTCTGTAAGAAGTGGCTTTGGCGCAGCAATTCGTGAAAGAATTCCCATTTGATGAAGAGTTTTATGAATAGTATCTTGTGAAACTTTTCTATTTTTAAATTTTGGAACTTGTGATGAATTTCACTAAGAGAAGTTCGATTATTCTTCATTATAATTTTTTAAGGGTTTTATGATCATTATTATTCATGCAAAGTGGTTTTCCGGTTCTTTTAGCATTGGATCCATTATTATGAATTAGCATATCGGGTTTTGTGGAATTTTTAAAAGATGAGTAATAGCTTCATAAGTTCTTCCAGCGTTCTGTAAACTGATTATTTTTTCACGTTCAAACTCATTTAATTCGTGACTTTTTTCCATATCGAATGGCGCAGTTTTTTAAAAAAAAAAATGTTTTGTTTTTGTTTATTAAAACTGATCTATACATCATTGTACAAATATAAACATATGTACGTTATCGTCAAAACCAGGAGATCATTTTTAAAAAAAATAGCTAGTTATTATGTCCGATCTTGAGTAATTTAGGAAAAGCTTAACCGGATACTTTTCCGAGGGTAGTGTATGTATAGTATTGTAAATTATTCTTCTTTATTATGTTAATTTTAAAACAGCAGTGACAACAATTGATTAAGAATTGGAATAGAAATATTTATTTTATTGAAACTTGGTTTGAATGAGATGATAATTTATATATAATATGACATCTATCACAAAAGGGTTATAAAGGATGTCAATACGATAATTGCGATAATGCCAGGAGAATTTGAAAAAGCAAAGTCGTTACCTTAATATATTATAGAAGCCATGATTGAATTCCCAGGTTATTTTTCTTCTTTTACCAGCTTGATTTTCGCTGGCTTCCCGGTGGGTTTGCTGACTGGTGGAGAAGTAGCAACCTTGTCGACCTTCTTCTCCAATGCATTCAAGGACTTGTTGATTTTTGCTTTCAAATCGCTGACGTTATACTGTACATCTTGGAAATAATTTTTTTTTTTTGTTTTAAAGTTGGATATAAGCTAATGAGAAGTTTCAATGGATTCGATCCTGAACATTAAATAGATATAAGAGTGCTTATTTATACAGAATTAAATATTACCGCATCGCATCAATCTTGCGGAAAATGATCTTTCCTCACCCCAATAAAAGTGGATTTATTCGACTGATCACTAGTTGATGATGGTTTATTTGCTACACGAATATTACATTTAAAAGAGTTAAAAGAGGCAATTAAATTATTCTTGCACAGCCGTGATCAATTATTTATTTATTTAAATTTTTTTTTTTGCATATCCAACTTGAAAAATAAATTGGAGTAAAGTAAATAAGAATATAAAAACATGCCCTATATTAAAGACTGCACTTTTCAAGGAAAATGGCGTAATTAATAAAATCTTTTAAATGATTCGCCAACAAGAATAATTATTATTTAAAATTTATTTCAATGGACTGAAAATTGCCGTATTACATGAGAACATTCATTAGATAAATCAACAATGTACAATACAAAGCATATTATTTGTAATTAAGACTAAAGAACATCCTAGCGGCAAATAATTTATCTGAGTTTAGTAAAAATTCGTGAATTACAATGGTAACGATGTTTTGTTACAATGGCAGATTATAATTGTTTAAAAGTTATTGTATATGTTATCGAAGAAAAGAAAACACTGGCTATATTTTTCCTTATCGGGTTCGATACACTGAATTCTTAATAAAGAAATGATTTTTTTTTTAGAATTTATTTATGTTACTGTCCCATGAAGGCCTCGATCGATGATTGTCAAAACGCAAGAAATACTCTTTTTGGACAGATCTGCTCATCCGGATTAGGCAAATACTTCTCTACGTTTTTGCTTCCTAGTAAGAGTAATCTAAGAGAAATCTACAAAAGAATCCTAATCCCATTATCCTACAGTAGCGCTTTATATACAAAAAAATTGCATTTGTAATTTTATAGGATTACCATATATGGCTTTGACTAACGTTACATGTATCATTTGGTAAGCTATAAGTTAACATTTGCTTACTTTAAATATGCTACTAGCCACTACCAAGGCTACCTGAGGAACCACACCGTCTTGTGATATGCGCGATATGCGCATTGCTCATGAATCTGTCAAACTTTGAATCACATCAAATATTCATTTTCTTTTCATGAAGTTTTTTATTATCATAGAAAATAAAGTGAGAAAACAACATTAAAGTAATAGGTTTTCAAGTAATTAAAACCAACTTTCGAATAATTGGTCAGTTTTTTTGAATTTTTAAAACTGATTATCTTTTAAATTCCGGATATTTTTAAAATTAAAAAAAAATATAATTATGTTGTATGTTAAGGTTTTAAAGATGAGATAAAATAGCCAAAGAAAGAGACCGCTTATGAATTCTACCTAAGGACAAAGAATGAAAACAGATAACTTAAAAGATTTTAGTAAAGATAATGAAATAACATTCGAATTTATAATGTCTTATGAAAATACTCGTTATTAAATATATTTTTTCAATATATTTTTTAGATTCTTTATTTTAACGTCTAACGCCCTTGATGTGTTGTTGTAAGACTAAATAAACATTACGGACTCGAAAAGTTACTGTTATCGGCTAACATAAACTCCCATCTAGGGTAACAAAATTACTTGATCTATTTTTTAAATATAATTTACGTCCAGATTTTTGACTTACGTTCAATGTCCTTAATGAAGAGGTATGGTAAGTTTGTTCATATATTGTTAACATGACCTGAATTTGTTCTTTGTGTTAGTATGTACTGCCTGCTTACCATAAAACTCCAATCCAGGATAATTTTAGGAAGTGACTCGTCACGATCTTTGCCTTGAACATTGATGATATTCAATGTTGCATGTTTCTATACGAAAATAATGCTATATTACAATATGAGTATACATTGAACTTAATAAATTATCAACAAAGCTGTTATACGTTAGATAAAAGATCCATCGCTACGCTATTGGTAACTCGTGGGAAAATTTTAGCAACTCCATCATTTAAGGAATTTCATGGTAAGGAAGGGATGTTTTCGTTAAATATAAATAGAGAAACAGAAATAGAATCATGATTTGAGCTATTCCAAAGATAATAAGTAATTATTTAGTATTCATTCTCAAGAATTATCAAAAATGTTTATTCATCATAAAAAAGTCATTAGTTTAATGTGATAATAATACTTTTAACTAATCCCTCATATTTTACTTTCCAATTAATGATGCAGTTCCTGATCTTATATTTACAAAAGTTCTGTAAAAAATTATTTCATGGATTATTATAAAATATAACATAGAAATAATTATCGCTTATATGATGGTATCGAACTTTACTTCGATTTCTTACTCTTAAAACTTCTTAATTTCTTCTATTCGGCAGACTGGAAAAGTCTTGATGATTTATTGCCACTTAATTTTTTAAAAGAAACAGGGCAGATAAGAGCATTTCTCTGAATGAAAAGGTACTCTTTATTTTGTAAAAGAAGGGTAACTCCTAGGAAGTTCCGACTCGAAAGCTTTAATGCTGATAACCACTCGAGCTTTCATAAACAGATCAAATTAGAAAGATTTGAGGATAGTTTGGAAGGTTATTAGGAAGGAATAATTCAGGAATGCAAGTTTGTAAAAAAAGGATGCGTTTAAATCCTAATAATCTAACTTTACATTTGATAATGTTTATATCTTTAGAGGTAGAACCCTTCGGATTATGCGGCTGAAAGATATTGTGACTTATTTTCCTTTTAAAATCAATATTATAAAGATAACGAAAGGTGAAATCAAAATAGTATCAAACCTGTTTAATTTAGCTCAGAAGAAGTTGATCTCAGTGTAGCTTTTAATGATGGCTTCGGTGGATATTTGTATAAGGGAAAATGACACATACATCGAAGATTATAATCATACCTATACAGTTGAATAAAGTTGCTAGTATATAAGATATGATAACCATCAACGAAAATATAGTAGAAAGAGAAAGAGAGTGGCACCTACTTCAGCTCGAAAATATAATCTTCAGAATTTTTAATCGAAATTTGTTATAATGTTGCTTCTTGTATAAAATGGCATAGAATAAACCTGTAAATATTATACATTAATTAGAATGTTAGATCAAAACTTTTATTAATATGAAATTAATTATACACACCGGCTATTTTATCATAATGAATTTTTCAAAATTAATTAATATACACGTATTGAATAGACTTGTAAATTACAACTTTAAAATAAAAAGCATTACCTTTTATCTTATGTAAACATTATTTCGTGATTTTGAGCATGTTATATAATTATATGAAGAGGTAATTATGTTCCAAAATAATCGAGATTGATTTTATTTTGTAATTCGATCTAAATTTATACATAAAAAAAAACCGGAATCGCTTTTTTTAAATCGTCAACTAATCTGACCATATCCATTCTTGTATCCCGTGGGTACTGGTGCAAAAAAAGACTGGCTAGTTTACTTATTATAAACTTTACAAGTAAAAAATTATTTTAATCATTTGAGCTAAAAAAAACGTAATTAATGATGTTCATTTAAATTATTTAAATCTACGACAAATTCGAGTTATTCGAATCACGAGTTGACCAGTCCCGAAAAGATAGGATAGTCGCAATAAATAATTAACACTAAATACGAACCAACGCCATGATTTTGGACAAAAAGTTTGCAAACTTTATTTCTTCTGTTAAATTAACATTATCATCCAATTTCATTACTTTATGCATACTGCAATCACGTTCAATTGTACGATATTTGCTTATAATCACATTCAAAAATTATCGAGTCAATAACAATAATTACTAAATTCATTTATGTTAGAGTTAAATGTAAAGACTTGTAAAATATGTATTTTTTAGGATTATGCATAAAAAAGATTCGATTTGAGAAAATGATTTACATACATGTTGGTTTCGTGATTTTTTTGTTTTATTTCAACATTTATTTTCATTCATTTCTCCTCTCAAATTCATAAGAACAAAAAGGAAAAACTTTGCGTCCAAAAGAAATTTTACTTTTTTTTTTTTTTAAAAAAAAAATATATATATATATTATTTTCTAAAGAGAAGTAATCGGAGACGCGTGGATAAAGCCTTATTGAATGACCTGTCCTTAACCAAAAAGTCTAGTCTCCCTTCAAGGCCTCCATTCCTTTTTAGAAATTTTTTTAAAAAAAATAGATTCTGTCAGCAGTTATTAAACATCTTTTCTTTTATTGAAAAAGCGCGGTTAAGAACTAACGAATATAAAATCATATACCATAGAGATATTTTATAAAAAAAATTTTTTTTACTAATTTTCTCTAACGCTATATAAATAATAATTATTAAGAAAAAAAAAAAAAAGAATACTAGAATTTCATTCTTTCATATGTATTTTTATTTATAAAATATCATATTCCAATATTCTTGTTTTATAAGTTTCATCTTCCAATAATTTAATTTTTTTACTGTCTTTATCTATAAAATCATGCAGATACATTCAATTGATTAATAAATATTGATTTTTTGTGATTTTTTAAATCGTATAATTGGAAATTTTTTACCTTCAAATATATCGCTTTCAAACTTTCGTTTACCTTTTTTTAAAAAAAAACGAAAAAAAGGTAATTAATAAATTTGGCATTTTTCAAAAATGTGGTAAAATAATTTTTAATTATTAATTACCAAAATCCGAAGAAAAAGATTGACTTCGTAAACTTCTTGTGGATTCTGCGGAGTTTATCATGCTACTTAAAAATCTACTCTTATAAATAGCGCCTGGATTGTTTATTGTTATAGGTCCAATTTCTGATGATTTTACAATATCAGTTCGATTCATATTTTCAAGATTTATAATTCTAGAAATACTATTATAAATATTTCTAGATATTGGCCTTTTATTTGGATCAGGGTCCCAGCATTCTTTCATTAGCTCAATATAACCTTCAGGTGCTACTATATCACCAATTGAAGGACGTAAGCCATCACAAATATCAATAATCAGCTCAGTATCATGAGCACGATCCCAAAAAGGTCTTCTTCCTGTCA